CATTGTCTGAACAGGTTCTGAGGGGCTGGGAGTTGGGGGTGTGTATTAAATGATTCACTACCAGTGGGCCCATCTCTTACATCTGTAGCTACTGCAGAGAGGAATCTCCAGCCTATGTTTAGGAAGAAATAATCATTGGTCCATATTTTCCACTGCTGAGCAGAAGAGCAAAGTAGAATCTAATTATCTGAAACTGTAAGATTTCACTTAGCCCATATGGTTGCCATGGAAGTGCCCTCCAGATCTCTGCTCAACTCTGACCATCAACCTTTCTGTTGAAGTTTCATCACAGGGAAAACCTCAAGCTTTGGTGTGTAGAAAAAGAGAGTGGCTTAACTACATGGGGCAGACAGGGGGGATATAGAAATCTGCCTGTTCTCCAATCTTGAAAAAAGACCTACAGTCTCAGACTCACACTCATATTCACCAGAAGTGTTAGCTTTGACATTTAACATTTATTGCTATTTTATTTTATTTTTTACAGAATAATGGGACAAATCATGGTTAACATTCATAGTTATGTGTCATTATACTTTGTTCTCATTCAATCCCCTCCCCTACTGTCTCCCCTGCATCCCTCCATGAACATGCATGCTTTTTAAACATTTTAAAACTGATAAGCACGTTGAAATTTTTTACAATTAATTTTTATCTTTTCAGAACACTAGTTATTGTAGAAAATAGAAACAAAAAGAAAGAAGTCCCTTTCTTCTTTCATCCATCATCCAGTGATATGAGATTGTCTTAAAGCAACAAAATATGAACAGACATCCACTAAGAGCTTCCAAGCAATACAAAAATATTCTGGACAGTGTGCATCAAAATTATTTACCCCACTCCAGAACAAAAAAAGATAGATAAATAGGAAATAGTACTATTAGCCCTGACTCATAACCATAGCATCCCAGGCATATAGAGCTCTTTTCCTGGCTTCTCACCTACGTACCACTACCCACCATGTCTGCGGGGTATGGAGTACCTTATTATGTTTCAGAAAATATTGTTCTCACCTCTCATCAATAATTTCTTCAGCTTACTGCAGTTTTATCTCTGTTTCAAGTATACTTATAAGTATCCTATTCAGCTGAATTTTATCTCTAATATACTTGGTTACTTTTAATGTTAAGAGCCATTATGTATACTAAATACAAAAAATAGTATGTATATCTAACTACATACTATTTTGTATGAATTCATTCATAATTCACGTGAAGTACAGAATTTTTAGTAAGAAAGCAAAAGCAATCTTAACTATCAGCAGCAATGATGGTGCTAATCAAACATGAAAACTATGCAGATGAACTTTTGCAGTTGACTCTTTTGAGTGTCTTGCCTGTAAATGTCAGTTTTTCCTGTGGTTAATGACATCAAATAATTGAAAACAAAATGCAGAAACATAAAGATGCTTGTTTTAACAAGTACATGCAGTGTGGCCTGTGGTAGGTCTCATTTTGCAAATATTACATGTTCTTAAAAAGGCAGACAAGGAACAAGTTTAGACTCGAGAAGAGCAAGTGGCGCTGAAGCTAAAAAGAATAGTTTGGGTTTTTTCTTCTTCTTTTTCTCTCAGAGAGGGGATTTCCCACATATCTATAAGGAAATAAGTGTAGATGAATCCAGCAATGCTGAATTCGTTATCCATTTCACTCAACATTCAAAATATACGTGGTATAAAATCTCCTTACTTCTTTTCTGTTTCCAGGGATTTATCTACCGTCTATTCACAAATAAGCCCCCAAATTTGCCAATACTCTTTTGACTTCTCTGAGAGACTTCTAAAATAGTCTCAATAATCTTAAGCTACCTTGAATGCTACAAAGCCAAAATTAACAAATTACCTTCCATCAAGCCTAAAGCTCCTTCTAAATTCCTTAATATATTTACCATCAAGGCAGTGATCTAAGCGAAATGATTTAGTTATATCCCATTGTCAAATATGGCTGTTTTTATTAAGGTCCAACATAAATTTCTGAAATAAGTGGGTGGATAGAGTTTCAATGATCCAATTCCTCTTACTCTACCTGGTGGTCTAGTAAATCTTGCGTACTCCACTCCAAATCCCTATCTCCTTTCCAGACCTCCCTTTTTATAGCTTGCCCTGTAGCTGCATTAATATAGACTCTTAAGCCTCTCAACTCTTGATTCTCTGACATCTATGCCATCTGTATCTCTGTAGCATAGATTTGATAATTTTGTCTCCTCTCTCTTCTATCAGCAGAACAGAATTCTAACTTCTCCAAACTCTCCCAACCCTATTCATTCTTTTACCTCTACTCCTGACTCAGGAGCTGAATGAACCTTCCCCAAAAGCCATACTTGTCCTTTTTCACCTACTGTAATTTCTCCTACCCCTACCTTCAACCATGTCATGTCCTATTCTAGAATGTTTCTTCTCTGTGTGCTTTAGCCTGTTCATCCTTTGTTTCCTACTTGGAGCATCCCCCAAGCCTCTCATCAGTCAAGTCTTCTTCAGCCCACGGGCTTTTGGGATGCTTTTGATACTTCTGCCCTGGCTCTTAGAGTAAGTTGCAGTTGCATTTTAATCATCTGTTCATGCATCTGTCTCTCTTGAAAGACTTGAAAGAGCATAGCACTTAAATATTGCCTGACTCCTAGTATATGCTGAAGAAAGTTCATCAGAATCAGCTTTGAATGAAAGCCATTTGTATATGGTTTGAGGGACTTACACACATATTCTGACAGTTAGTAAAATGAACAAGATGGCAGCAGAAAATCTGGAAAAACGTAAAAGAATCTGCAAGCATTTTTTAATGTGATCCTTTATGTGATCTGGATTCATATTTCAAAAAACAGAGTTTCACTGGGAAAGAAGACTTGGGAAGAGGCGCCTCCATTTCTCTGGAGCTCAGCCCTCCTCTGCTCCTTTCTTTTAGATTCTCTGGACCAGGAGCAGCTTGGGCAGGCTGCAACACCCCTGGCTTTCATTTTTCCTTCTTTGTTAATTGGGACTGTTTTCCCCACAGTCTTTTATGTCTCTTGAGTGAAGCCTTAAAACGCCAGTGCTTAAGATGAGATAACAAGATGCCCGTGGGAGGAAAGCATTCCAGTTCCCCCTTGGAAAGGTTTCATTTCATTGCAGGTCCTCTGAGGGAACATGAGTTTCCTCAGAACTTACAACCCTTTTCTTCTCCCTTTGCTCTGTGTCCTCATTTCTTAGAAAGGGTTCAGTAGAGGAGAAAAAGCAGGCTCTCTGGTCTGCATCAAGCTCTGTATTGCAGTGGTCCCTATATTATGTGCCCACTGGACAGCTTGGTGAGAACTTGCTGCAAATGAATTTTAATTATAGTGGTAGTAAAGATTCCTTGTTGGTTCACAGGAAGCCACTCTTCAGGTTTGTTTTCTTTTAGTAGAGGAGCACTTAACACAATTAGACGTAAGAACAGAGCTGTGACCAAGTTCCTATCACAGTCTCGATGTACAATTACCATGTGAGAAGGTACTAATTTTACTGACTAACCAGTCATATTTGGCTCTGCTTTGAAAGATAGAGCTTTGTTTCTTTAACTCTTTTTGATGATACTGTTTTTATACTTTTATTAATTCCTTGATAGTTTCATTCAACATATTTTGGTTATACCACTCTCTTTCTTCAACTCGTCCCAGATCCAACACTACCTCCCTACCTACCTAGTTTCTTGTTCTGTTTTTTTTTCCCTATCCAGTTAATTGTGTTGCCCAAATACTCTTGGCTGTGAGACCAATCTCTGGAGCATAGTAAACCTACTAGGAGTCATATCCTTGAAGAAAACTGACTATCTCCCAGAAGACATCAAATGCCAGTAGTTTCTCAGGAATTGGGCTTCCTGCCCATCCTTGCCCTTCCATGCTAGGTTTTTGTCTGGCTTAAGCTGGAGGTGGTCTTGTGCTTACTGTCACAATTACTATGCAACTGCCCTGATGACTGGAAAATATGGTTTCCTTGTAGTCATTCACAACCTTCATCTCTTACAATTTTCCATGCCCTCTTTCTGAGAAGATCCCTGAGCCTTGGGCCAGGGATGTGATATAGACATACCATTTAGGGTCAAGCACTCCACAGTCTGGCCCAGGAATCCATTCCCAATACTGTTATCAGGACCAAGAAGCTGTGGCTAGATGGGTCCTAGGCCCTAATGGAGAACCTACTACTACTATATTCTGCTAAATGGATATAGTATTAAAATTATTCTAGTGACTTGTTACTATATCCATAGATTAGTACATTTTACGATCCTCATCATAGAAGCTTCTTCTTACAGTAGAAGGCAACATAGGGACTCATAACTGGACAGCATGTAGAGAAAAAGAGACTGCAGTGTACTGTTTTTTTGACTAGGAAGCTATGACT